CTGGTGGGACCCACTTGTTCTTGACTATCATTATGCGGTCAATGGAACAGCAGGAAAGAAATACTATTTAGGCACTTTTCTCCCCAAAGAGCTGTGGGAGAAAAGCCCTTCACCCAGGGTACCCTTGGCGTCAGTGATGTGCTATGCAGGCAAGACAGAATACACCCTCCTTGTGAAGCTACCCGAAACGCCTCTGCTACCCAGAGAGAGAAAAAATAGGGGAGGGATCACAGCAGCATCACACCTTTCTGCCACCTTCTCCAAGCAAAGGCAGATTTGCTTTAACTCAGTCCTGATATGATCACTCTGAGATGCTGCTTTTCTTTCCCATGGCCACCAATGAATGATCCAGCTGCTCTCATCCTTGCTGTATGCATGTGTTCTTCACTCCTGCTGCCAATGTTTATTCCCCTCTTGGAGGCAGATAAGGTCTGCAGATAGTGCTTGATTTACGGATTATGGCCTTTGGATGGGCCCTGAAAGCACGAACTGCAGAAAGATGTTACTAAATCCCCCGCTGCTTTTTCTTAGCAGCCAGGATGTATCCAGCACTCCTGGAAAACTGCGCCTTCTCTCTGTGCCAGAAAGGTTGCCTGCCTCCACCTGCAGCAGCTGGTTTTTGACAGTGTTATTAAAGTGCATTAAGAAGAAGGATTTTTCTCTGGAAAGGCAAATGCACTGCAGTGCAGGCCTCTCCTAGCAAGGCTAGGGAGATAGCGAGATCTTGCAGAGACCAAGACATACAGCTGTAAATTGCGGCATGGACCACATGCATCCCTCTGCATGGCATCCCGGTGCCATTCAGAGGGACCCGGACAAGCTCGAGAAGCGGGCACGTGTGAGCCTCACGAGGTGCAACGAGGCCAAGTGCGAGGTCCTGCACTGGGTCGGGGCAACCCCTGGTACCCGTACCTGGCAATATTCGAGGCCAGGCTGCACGGGGCGCTGAGCGACCTGACCCAGCTGAAGCTGTCCCTGCTCGTTGCAGGGGGCAGTTAGCAAGCCTGCATGAGT